TTTTTTGGTATAAAGAAGGAGGCCAGGGGCCCAAGAAAAACGACTATGCTAGAACACGGTGAGGGTGAGCCACCCACGGAAATCGTGGTCAAGCCATGCCTCCAACCCTGGGGGGTAATGGAATTCTCTGTAGTCCTAACGGGAAAGACGCCGCTAGTGTCGCCATATGATCAGCCGCGAAATTGGTTTTCCTATGCACATGATGAAACCGAACGCTCCAATCTCGGTCTGCCAAGCTTCTGATGGCTCTGACCATGGCCTCGTGGGCTCCAAAATGAGTTCGAGGTCTAGTGACCATTTGTAGCACGCACTGACTATCGACTTCATCAATAACCTGTCGGAATCCTAACTCCCAAGCCATTTGGATACCCTGAAACAATCCCCAAAGTTTAGCTCCGGAGATAGTACCAATCCCAATGTTCATAACAAAGCCTTCGATCCAACTGCCTTGCTCGTTCCGAATTATTCCCCCCGCACTACACAATCTCGTGGTACGATTAAACGCCCCGTCTGAATTGACTTTGACCCAGCCCGCTTCCAGTGGGTTCCACTTGATCATGCGTGTATCGTATAGCCTTGCTCTCGCCTTCGCATAGGCTGTGACCGCCTTTTCATACGTCATTGATTTACGGATAATCTAACTCAACTTTATCTCAATTGTAATATTCTCAATATTATAAATATAATTAAATATAATCATCTAATCATTCTTACATATCACATCACCCCTATATATAATTCACGAATGCGCTGAGCCTACGTGGCTGCTTCTGGTGTTTCGGAATCCTACTTGGCAAAGAATCATGCTTCGTAATTAAGTTTGGGCAAATAATATTGATATATTAATAATTAATAATCTAGGTTTGGATATTCCATAAATATTATTCAGCTAACTTAGATATTTTAATATCACTTGTACTAATATAATCCTTTAATTATTTGTAATTTTACATATTGAGGCACTAAGTGACTAATATATCTCCGACTTTTGATTTGTTTTTTAAAAGTTGATAACTTTTGTATTTCTTATTGGTTTTACATATATAATATATCAAATTAATCATCTTTTGATGATCTTCGATTTGACATCCATATTTTATATATGAAATAAGGAAAATGCTACATGTACATAATAAATGTACATAAAAGTGTACATAACACTCACATGGAATAGGGTCCACTTGATTTTGTATTTTTAGTGGGTCCCACTAAATGTGAGTGTTATGTACACCCTTATGTACACTATTATGTACTTGTAGCATTACTCATGAAATAAATAAACTATATTTATCTTTATAATAATAATAAGTAATAATGTTTACTAAAATTCAGTAGAAAAATAAAATTATTTCTCAATTGTATATTTATATTTAATGTAGTTATATCTTGTAAGTTAAAAAAATTATTACAATATAACACAACTAAGTCGTACAAATAAAAAGTGTCATACTAAATATATAATAATATATATTTTTCTAAAAGATATTTAAATTTTTAACTACTTTTTCTCATTAATTTTAAATTTTAAGGAAAAAATTAGCAACCCGTGTATACACGGACGTTGTACTAGTTTTAGTTTAATTCACTATTCATTTACACGTAATTTTAACTAACCATATCATATTTCTCTTACTTTCATATTAAATAACTTTAAATATTTTATTTTAAATATTATTTTAATATAATTCAAACTCCCACTAACATTTAACCATAACATACTTTTCCAAACTGATTCTAATAACCAAAAAAAAAAAAAAAAAAAAATCAAACTTTTAGTGAAAATTTTTGTATACTCTAAAATTTTTATCTCCTCCCTCACTATCCATGCCCACCTTCAACCCCAACTTTCGACCATGTCCACCGCCACCGACCCACCCCACGGCGGCGACGCCGCCGTCAAACCCAAGCTCATCACCTCATCCGAGCTCCGCGCCGAATTCGTCCACCACGATCCCGCCGTGGCCCGCGTCAACAACGGCAGCTTCGGGTGCTGCCCCGCCTCCATCATCGCTGCCCAGCAGCGCCACCAGCTCCTGTTCCTCCGCCAGCCTGACCATTACTACTTCAACGCCCTCAAGCCCGCTATCTTCCGCACACGCCGCCTTGTCCAAACCCTAATCAACGCCGACAACGTCGACGAGGTATCCGTCGTCGACAACGCCACCACCGCCGCCGCAATCGTTCTCCAGAACACCACCCGCTCCTTCCTCTCCCCCGACTTCCACCCTGGAGACGCCGCCCTCATCCTCCACTACGCCTACGGCGCTGTCAAGAAGTCCGTCCACGCATACATCTCACGCGCAGGCGGCCGCGTCATCGAGGCCCACCTCCCCTTCCCCGTCAGATCCAGCTCCGAAATCATCCTCGAATTCCAAAAAGCCCTCCAGCTGGGGAAGTCCGACGGCCAGCGGATCCGGCTGGCCGTCATCGACCACATCACCTCCATGCCCTGCGTAGTCATACCCGTGAAGGAGCTCGTCCGGATGTGCCGACAAGAGGGCGTCGACCGGATCTTCATCGACGGGGCCCACGCCATCGGCAACGTGGACATCGACGTCAAGGACATCGGCGCCGATTTCTACACTAGCAATCTCCATAAATGGCTCTTCTGCCCCCCGTCCGCTGCCTTCCTCTACTGCAAAAGCTCCGGCGAGTTCTCAGACCTGCACCACCCGGTGGTGTCCCATGAGTACGGCAACGGGCTAGCCATGGAGAGCGCGTGGATCGGGACCAGGGACTACAGCGCCCAGCTCGTTCTGCCGGAGGTGATGGAGTTCGTGGACAGATTTGATGGCGGGTTGCAGGGGATTATGAAGAGGAACCACGAGAAGGTGGTGGAGATGGCGGAGATGCTGGCGGCATCGTGGGGGACCGAGCTGGGGGCCCCACCAGAGATGTGCGCCAGCCTGGCAATGGTGGGCCTGCCGTCCTGTTTGGGGATTCGAGGTGATTCGGATGCTTTAAGTCTGAGGAGGCATATGAGGGAGTGTTTCAAGGTGGAGGTGCCGATTTATTACCGGGCAGCCGTGGAGGGTGAGGTGAACCCCGTGACTGGTTATGTCAGGATTTCGCATCAAGTATATAATGTGGCTGAGGATTATTACCGGCTCAGGGATGCAGTGAGGGAGTTGGTCAAGATGGGGTTCACTTGCAGTGTGCTTTCAAAGTGAAAAGGTACTACTCTCATTTGGGTTGTTCTCTTATGAGTTTCGCCTCTTTAGATTCGTTTGGTCTTACGAAGACCGAACAATGAACAGAATCTTGGATGTTTTCTGTGCGATTTGGGTTATATCCTTGGAGTAAGGTCTGGTTTTCAAGGGAGTGGTTGCTAGTGGTGGGTGATGATTGATAGTTTTATTAACAAGGTGTAGTTAAATTCAAGTTAACCTTTTTTTTTAGGTAGATTTGCTTCTGAGTTTTTGTCCATTGGTTTATGCAAGAGCGGGAATAATTACGGACTACTTTTTTTATGATTGTTCTCTTCTTCATTGGCTTATGCTAAAGTAGAATACGATAATCCGTCATGAGGGACTCTTCTTTTATTTTATTTTATTTTTTATTTTTTATCGTCATTGCAATTTGGTGACCATTTCGGAGTCAACACCATGGGATTAAGAGTAGAATGTATTTATGCTTGCATGATCTATTACATTTTCATGACCCATAACCATGAATAGGAAGTTATGCATAATAATAATGTCCATCTCTGAGGATTTATGCATGCTGTTGCTTGGTAATTCTTTGGACTACCTTTTCTGAGTTAACATGGCCACTACCTTCAAAGTCGAAGGACATTCGAAGGTGACATCTGCCTTGTGAGATTCACTTGAATCTTGTAATCCGACATTTATGTTACATTGATCAAGAAATTAAGATTAAACTTTGAGACATTAATTGGTAGCTTATCTTTGTGGTTGGGGAGGGTTGTAGAACAATAGCGTGAAGACCATAACTTTTTTCTTCGGGACAATCATCTGTTTGAGTCAACATTACGTTTCAAATGTATCTTTAATCCCTGCTTCTAGCTGTATCCGTTTCTTGAGTCCTGTTTCTCTACGATAAGGGATGATAAGTTTTTTTTTGTATTTTGTTAGTCATGTATCATGTTTCACAAAGAGCTAGTTCTGTGGGAGATATCATAATATGCCACCAACACATGTTTTTTCCATTTTCTTTTTTCCTCTTGCAGTTCACTTGGATATGAAACATAGTTCACTTGGAATGCAAACTATGAGATGAAAGTATTCCTAGATGCAATCTTCCAGACACCCAAAAGAAAAAGAGAGAAAACCAAAAATCATGATACTAACTTTGAAGCACTTGTTGGCCAAAAGAATAATTCATGTACTTATAGCGCCCGTCTTCTCGCCTCTTACTCGTTTTTTTATTTTATTCATTTATTTTTTTGGGAGATCGACTTGGAATGAATTTATAACACGGTGGTGCATTTGTTTTCGGGAATTAGTAGTAGTGACATTACCTCTGATGTGTGTTGGGCATCTAATTGTGGTACTCGCTATGCTTGTCAAAACGGGCTTGGGATCGCCGGACAGCCCCGCCTAATATACGGGTTGGGCTGCTATTTTAAAAGCCCGCGTGGGCCGTGGGTTTTGGCGGGCCGTGGGCCGGCCTGCCATATTTATGAGGAAAAAAAAAGTAATTGTAAAACCTGGACCAGGCCAAATCCAAAGGGCCAAATATTATTGAAGATGTTAGGATAGACAAGATTTCCAGTGGGATGTGCAGATTGCAGATTGGAAAGTTTACAAAAACCATATACCTTTTTTTAACATGAAAAAGGGCATGTAAATAGTTTTATGTACATAAACACACTTATTAACCCAAGACCGCATGGATGAGATGGTTTGGATCTCTTCCAGCTTAACCAATGGTCTCGTGTTCGAGCCCTGAGAATGCAGCAATGTTTAAACTCTTGAGGGAGAGCTTTGCCGCCCTTGTGGTCCTACCCGGCTCGATTCCGGATTAGTCGGTTTCTCTGTGGATCCGGAAACCGGAAGGTCCCTGTACCAAAAAAAAAAAAAACACACTGATTAATTAGTAAACCAGTGCTTTTTGCCCTTCTCATAATCTCAGCTTTCAAGTGGCTTGAAATGCGAGAGGCTTCATTTTGATTATTGGATTTAGAAGATCATGTTAATAATAAGTCCATTGAACTTGTTTGTACATAATGGATCATAGCTCTTATTTTGATTCATTTTTTGTTTTCATTACTATTATTATTTTTATTACTACTCCTATTATCATTATTACTACTATTATTTATTATTGTTATTTTGTTTGCAGCGTTTTGATGGTATTCATGATGGATCCAAATTCATCTTTAGATGAAATCATTAAATGTCCATTAAATTTTCTTCTCATAAAAATAAAAAAAATAAAAATACTTCAATAATATATGAGTACTTGAACACGACTGTTTGAACATTCTATAATCATACAGAAATAGTTTTGAGCTCTCATGATTTTTTTATTTTTAACATTCGGCGTTTCAGCCTGCTTAGCCGTGGGGTTGGGCCGGGCTGCCCTTTCAGAGGCCTACCAGTCGACCTGCATGCCTGCCCCTCCTAGTCAAACAGCGGGTTTTGGCGGGCTACTGGCCAGCCTGCTCCGACAGCTTGTTTTGACATGTATAGTACTTTCTGGTAGAGTTGTCAGTTTGTACGTCAATTAGTTGTTATCAACTTTTTAATAAGAGTGCGCTCTAATATGATTAGCAGTTCTATCTACACTTTTTTTTCTCTGTTAAACATAAAATTTCAAGTAAACAAGTTCGAATATACAACACAAATAATTAAGGGTTGCATTGAACTCCATCACACCAGTCTTGACAAGGGAAAAAGAGGGGGAACTCCAGTCTTGACAAGGGAAAAAGAGGGGGAACTCCACAAGAGTACCACTAAGAGATCAACACAGTCTAAGAAAAGAAACCACACACTAGGAAAAAAAAATTATAGACAACGCAGGTTCGTCACACCAGTCTTGACAAGGGAACAAGAGAGGGAACTCCACAAGAGTACCACTAAGAGATCAACATGGTCTAAGAAAACAAACCACATACTAGGAAAAGAAAATATATAGACAACACACGAACATAAGCTAGACTATACTCAAGGCAACAAACAAGGACAACCAAACAACCTCAAAAACTAAAAAATTCAGCAACTTGCACTTGCACATCTACATTGAAACCAGCCTGTCTGCAATATTTGAGCAACTTCCTATCTCTGATGAAGATTTCAACTCTTCTCCATCCCAACCTGACTCCTTCCTCGAGGCACTCCCTAATGCAAAGTAGTGAAGCTTCCACTGGAAATCTTGTCAAACCCTTTCTAAAGCAGCACCATGGACCACAGGCTTTGAGAACACCCTCTGCTTTATGCACTCTATTGTATTCTAGCAAAGGATTAGTAGCACTGGTTACCTTCCCATGCCTCCCGAATCCATGTTCCCCACAAAGAAGTTTGTTAGAATATCACTTGTGAGTTGTCCCACATCGTTCATACATGAAAAATAGACTCACCTTATAAGTCTAATGGGCTACTCCTCCTTCCACCAGTTAGTTTTAGGATGGAACCTCACTTGGACTACATTTGGGCTAACCCTCTTATGGTGCGCTTCACTTGTGTGGTACCACACTCGTTTTGCTCCGGTTTGACAAAGTTGACCTTCTTCCCTACCGACTTCTGCTTAAACTACTTTTGGCCACTCTGAACCTCATCAAACTCCAACCACTCAAGCTTGCTCCTTCTACCACCGAGAATTCTGAACTAGCTTCATTGTTGAACACCCAGTAAGGGTAGTATCTTTCGTCTCACCGAACATTCGGTTCCAGGACAAACATTTGAGGCCCGACGACTAGGTGGACCACGCCGAGTTGTGAACTAACCCGAATTTGACCATCTTAATTTTGACTATGAATTGAATATTTTCATATACACACCCTTTATTACACACTTTACACTATGCCCACTCTCTACCCTGCAACTGGTTTTGGCCTTTTGGGGGGCTGCCACGTATGTACTTATTAGCTTAGCCTCGTAGCACACTCATATAATAATAAAAAAATTCCCCCCCAATAGTTAATAACATCAGCCATTCATACAGATTTCAGACCCCGCTTTTGGCCCCCCCTTATTACATTCTGTTTCTCAGAACAAATCTTTCTGGGAATTCTTTTTTCGTGAACTATAATAATTGAATTGAATCTCTTCACAATTGCGAATCCCGTTATCTTCCCCACTGCAACTCACTTTCCTTTTCCTCCCACAATATTGAAATTATTTCACCTTCAATCTTTTCCTTCTTCCGCGGCTGATTCTGTGGATTCATGAATCGCCCATTTGTTGTTAATCGCGCGTTCTAGGAACCAAGTTTTCAAGCCGGAGGTGCAGTCTACAGGTGATTTGATTTGATTTAATTTATGTTTTTTCTTCTTCTTCTTGAGCCCAATCATGTGGTTTTAGGGCTTTTTGGGTTATGTCAGTTTTAGGAGTCGATTCTGTTGAATTTTTGTTTGTCGGAGATTGAGAATGTTGAAATTTGAGGATGTTTTTTTTATGTCTCTCTGTATGCGGGCGCGCGCTGAAATTAGTTCGTGAAATCCCTATTGTTGTTGGTGTTTGAAGAACTGTTCTGGTTATGTTCGCTATTTTAGGGCGTGTGGAGATTAGTGTACTTCATTCGACATGTATTACTTTGTTCTCTGACATCTTTCCCACACTTGTTTTAGTCCCTTGTGTATGATTATTTAACTCGAGATGAGCTTCGATATTGAATGGAACAGTGACTCACATGAGCTCTCACTAATTAGACCTAAACTTTAGCCTCTGCAGTATAAATGTTCAACTCTATGTGAGCTTCAGTTTTGAATGGAACAGTGACTCACGTGAGTTCACAAATTATTATATTTTTTCTGGTTTAATCCGCCTGCAGCAAAGTTTCCATGATTTCGTTCGGTTTCATAATCAAGTGTTGAAAAAAAGAAATAAAATCACTTCTTTCGGCCTTCTACTGGTCAACCTGTGCAAAATTTACCTTCTCTGATGTCTGTTCTGTTAAAACAGTGACTTAACTATGGTCGAGAAGAAAGTCATAGCCATCTGCCAGTCGGGTGGAGAATTCCAAACCAATATGGATGGCACGCTCTCTTATGCAGGCGGCGATGCTCATGCCATGGAAATCGATGACAAGATGAAGTTCAAGGATTTCAAGTCGGAAGTAGCCGAGATGTTCAGCTCCAACCTCGGCAGCATGGCCATCAAATACTTCCTTCCTGGTAACAAGAAGACCCTCATCAGCATTTCCAATGATAAAGACCTCAAACGCATGATCAAATTCCATGACGACTCTGCCACCGCCGATGTTTATGTCATGACGGAGGACGTTGCTGATCCGGATGCATCCCACATGCCTGCCAGTAGGTAAAATAGACTAGAATGTTGAGTTTAATGCATGAAACATGAAGTGGTAGATAGATTAATTGAATAAATAACTTTATTTTGCAGATCGAGCCGTACAACGCTATCAGGAGCTGGGCTTCCACTTGAAAATGCCTCCCCTAGCATCATGAACAACATGGCAGATGGCATAAATATGCCGAGCCTCCTGGATGGCGCCGTCTTTGATGTGGGGTGCACTGATGGCGACCATGATGCACCGTTTACTGAGGAAGAGTCAGCTTTGCGCATTGAGTTCCCCATGCCAATCTCCATGGATGTCTCGTACGAAGAGAAACACTCCAAGGCCGCGGAGCAGTGGCAGAACAGCATCACAGGTGTGGGCCAGAGGTTTAACAGCGTGCATGAGTTCCGTGAGGCCTTGCGGAAGTATGCAATTGCCCACCGGTTCGCATTCAAGTACAAGAAGAATGACAGCCACCGTGTGACGGTGAGGTGCAAGGCCGATGGTTGCCCCTGGAGGGTCCACGCCTCCCGCCTCTCAACCACCCCCCTTATCTGCATCAAGAAGATGAACCCAGCCCACACGTGTGAAGGCTCAGCCCTGGCCACGGGCTACCAAGCCACACGAAGCTGGGTTGCCAGCATCATCAAGGAGAAGCTCAAGGTGTTCCCCAACTACAAACCCAAGGACATTGTGAACGACATCAAGCAGGAGTACGGGGTCCAGCTCAACTACTTCCAGGCATGGAGAGGGAAAGAGATCGCTAAGGAGCAACTGCAAGGCTCGTACAAGGAGGCGTACAGCCAGCTCCCATTCTTCTGCGAGAAAATAATGGAAACGAACCCAGGTAGCCTTGCCACCTTCACGACCAAGGGCGACTCGAGCTTCCACCGCTTTTTTGTCTCTTTCCGGGCCTCCCTGTTTGGTTTCGAGCAGGGATGCCGCCCTCTGCTCTTCCTGGACAGCACTTTCCTCAAGTCGAAATACCAGGGATCCCTGCTGGTAGCCACCGCAGCCGATGGGGACGACGGGTTCTTCCCGGTCGCCTTTGCCATAGTTGACGTGGAATCAGATGACAGCTGGCGGTGGTTTCTGCAGCAGCTCAAGGCCGCAATCCCCACTGCATGCCGTGGGCTGACGTTCGTGGCCGACCGGGAGAAAGGGATCAGGGAGTCGATTGCCGATATTTTCCGGGATGAGGATGTTTTTCATGGGTTCTGCCTGCGGTACCTCTCGGAGCAGCTCATCCGTGACTTGCAGGGACAATTCTCGCACGAGGTGAGGCGGCTAATGGTCGAGGACCTGTACGGGGCAGC